GGTGGTGAGTCCAGTCATTTATAAAAGTGTTGGTGCGCTTGTGCTAGGTCTGTTCAGCGACCGGACGAAGCACAGTGAAACTGACCAGACGCGCACGGCCTGCGTCCGGTCACAGGTGACATATGCTGACGTGGGCGACTTGTCAAGCGCGGGGAAGACCTGACGCCGGTGTGCGTCCAATCACGGGAAATCGGACATATCCGGTCGATGTTTTGGCGCTCAGGGACCTCTCTGGAACTGACCTGACACTGGGAGGCCGAGTTGATCGGCACGTCCAGTCAGCTGTTGGCAGCGCGCGGGAATGCGTTGACGCGGTGCGCGAACAACAGGTGGCATGCCAGTGCGTCCGGTCGTCACTTAACTGATGGTGCGGGCGAGACCGACGGGCGTAGTTTAAAGCGGGGGACACGTGGACGGCATCCAGTGACCGGACGCTAGGGACCGTGCGTCCGGTCATTTGGACCTGCACGTCTGGTCGCCCCGAGGACAGTGAGGTGAAGGAGCCCAACGGCTCTATTCGTGGGGGTTCTCTATTTAAGCCCCTTAGCCGGCTCAAACTCATTCTCTTTGGCCATTTGCATTGACATAGCAACCTTGTGAGCTTAGCCAAAGTCCTCCCACTCATCTTTATCATTAATTCATCATCTTTGTTCGTGTTTCGCTGTGGGATTCGCTTGTTACTCTTGGCGGTTGCCGACACCTAGACGGCTTGGAGCAGCGAGGATCGTCAAGCGGAGGTTGGTTATTGTCTCCGGCTCCGATCGTGGTGATTGTGAGGCATTCTTGACCTTTCCCCGACAGAGAGTCAAAAGGTACTCTAGTAGATTGCTCGTGGCTTTTGTGATCCTCATCTTGTGTTGGTTGTGCGGCACCCGATTGCAGGTTTGGCGTATGATGCCAATTAGCGTGTAAACCTAAGTGAGTGAATCGCCACAATAAGGACTAGCTTGCCAGCAAGTAAGTGAACCTCGGTAAAAAAATCTTATGTCATCTTGTCCCGATTATTTATTGGTATTCATTGTGATTGATTGTGATCATCTTGTGATTGGCTTAATTCCTCGACACGGCAATATAATCATCACCAACCTCTCGTGCGTTTATCTTTCTAGTGTGTAAGCAAAGCTCTTTAGTGTAACTAGTTTTGAGAGCTTGCTTACGTCGAGTCTTGTGGTTAGTGAGGCTCTTTAGTTAGTGTTTGAGAGCTCACTAACTTAGTATAGTGATATAGTCATTATGTGGATAGAGATTATAGATACTAGAATTATGGTAGGTGACTTACATTTTTAGTAGGCTAGCGCAACATTCGCTTTGCCTCATACTTATCTAACCACATTGCTTAGTGTTGTTGTAGAAATTTTTATAGACTATTCACCCCCTCTAGCCATTAGGACCTTTCAACTGTGTGCTTAAAATAATCACCAAGCTAATGGCAAATAGAGTCCAATAAGTAATCACTACACTGACCCATACAAATCAATATAGATTCATTAAGTCTAGAACAATTCAGGTTGCTTGGCTTGGGCATATGAATACATTCACCAATGTCACTATAGAACATAACACCATCATTGAAATGATGAAGCATATGGGTTTTGATGATAAATGGAGATTCTGGACAAAAAAAATCCTGGCCTCTGGTTCTTCTGCTATTCTTCTCAATGGAGTTCCTGGCAAACAGATCCAATGCAAGCGAGGGGTGAGGCAGGGTGACCCTCACCTCTTCTATTTGTTATGGCTGCTAACCTCTTACAGTGCATAGTCAACAAGGCCCACTTGAAGGGGCTGTTTGAGCTGCCAATTCCTACCTATGAGGGCGCTGGATATCCAATAGTTTAGTATGCATGAAAGCCTCTCAAAGGGAACTTTTCATTCTGAAGGGGCTGCTTGAATCCTTTTCTCAATCGACAGGTTTGAGAGTTAACTATGGAAAATCTTGCATGGTACCCCTCAACATGACAAATGACAAAGCTCAGCTATAGGCAGGAGTTTTTGGATGCAAGTTGGAGTCCCTACTTTTACATATCCCGGCTTGCCAATGGGAAATACAAAGCCAAGAGTGGAGCACTATCAATCATGAATAGAACTGAAAGGAGGCTCTCTGCAGTTTCTAATTTTCTAACCCATGCTGGAAGATTGGAATTAGTAAACTCTGTTCTATCCTCCCTCCCTACATATGCTATGTGTACTCTTCAAGCCCCAATTGGTGTTCTTGAATATATTGATAGAGATAGACGGCGCTGCCTGTGGAGAGGTTCTGAGAGGAATGCAAAAATGAAACCACTAGTTGCATGGAAAAAATGTTGTAAACCAAAGAAGAAAGGTGGGCTTGGAATAATCAACTTGAGGAGCCAAAACTATGCTTTGTTAATGAAGCACCTGGATAAATTCTACAACCAGTTGGGTTAAGCTTGTCTGGAATGCTCACTATCAAAATGGTCAAATACCCCATGTTACCTGTTCGCCTAAACAGTCGTTTAGCCCGTTTACACACCGTTGTGGTACACCGTTTCCGTTTAATCGGTTGTTTTGACCGTTTAAAAGACTGTTTTACCCGTTTAAACACCCGTTTTGCCCGAATAATGGGCTAAACAGCAGGTGACCGACTGTTTACCGTTTAGCGTTTAGGATAACACCGGCTATCACAGATAAAGGTTCCGTTTGATGGAGGGATCTTCTGAAACTTTGTGACATATTTAGAGGAATTTCAAGCTGCATAGTTGGAAATGGCTCAACGGTTCTCTTCTGGTCTGATGTTTGGAACAACCTTCTCCAAGAAAAATTCCCCAGATTATATTCTTATGCAAAAGATAAATGCATTTCAGTGGCTAAGTTTCTAGAGAACAACACAGTGATTGCTCAATTCCATTTACCATTGTCAGAACAAGCCCACCAAACTCTAGGATCTACTGCAGAATATTCAAGTGCAGGAACATTCAAAGGACACATGGCACTATATATGGGGAACTAGCACACATGCTTCTTCTAAATTTTACAACTTCCCATACAAGAATGTGTCCCTCCCTGCTCCATTCCTGTGGATTTGGAAGTCCAAATGTTGCAACAAACTGAGAGTTTTCTCCTTTTTTTTGCGCATACAACAGAGAGTTTTCTCCTGGCTCTTACTAATGGACATACTCAACGCTAGGAACATCCTTAGGAGGAAAAAGCTCAAGCGGCAACAACTACAACTGTGTCCTTTGCAATATGAATGTTGAAGAAACGGCCTTTCATCTCTTCTTGACTTGTTCTTTCAGCCAACACTATTGGCAGTTCCTGGGCATTCAGGGGAATCTTATGACGGATTTCCTACAAATGATGATACAAGCCAAACAAGCTTTTCCATATCCTTTCTTCATGGAAGTGTTCATTATCTCTGCATGGCAAATCTGGAAGCAGCGCAATGACCTCATTTTTATGAGGACCTCCTTCCTTCTCTTCCTGGAGAAGATCTCTCAAAGATGAAGCTCAACTACAAGCGTATAGGATTTCTGAAATCAAGCGATCTGTTTTTCTCTCCTGGGTTGATTCTTGTGTTTAGTGGTTCTTTGTTTTTCTTCTTGTTCTAGCCTCACTCGGGTTTAGCTGAAGTGTTTTCCGTTTGTTTTGCTCAGTGTTTGTTTTTGTGTTTTAATAAAATCTAACAGTGGGGGCTTCCCCTGCTGTTTTCCTTGTTCAAAAAAAAATACTACACATGAGATAAGATAAGAGATTCACAAGTGAATGAGTGTAGGAAAACCAAGAGCCAGGATAAGTGACAGAAATTTGGGTTTAGAGCATCTCCAACAGTCCCCCAATACTAAACGGTGGGCGAATTGTATTGGGGGACTGCTGGAGATGCTCTAATGGGGACGTTGCACACCGTGGAGGCTGTGAAGGCCGGGGCGAGCTCCCCGTCGAGGCCGTGGAGGCCGGAGCAGGCTCGCCGTGGAGGCCGGTGTGGGGTCGCCGTGGAGGCGCGGGCTCGCCGTGGAGGCTGTGGAGTCATCCAGATCGCAATCCGCCAGAGCCGGATCGCTGTGGAGCAGCGAGGTCATCTCCAGCTCGCAGCTCACCATGGAGCAGCGAGGGCATCTCCAGCTCGCAGTCCACCGGAGCCGGCCAGCACAGGCAGCAAAGTCGAGGGCCGAGGGGGCTGCGACGAGAATAAGAGGCAGTGCGGGAGGAAGAAGATGAGGTAGTTACTGTGGGACCCAAAGTATTGTGGGGCTCCCCCTTCATTTGTGGGGAGCTGCAGAAGATATTGGTGGCCACAAAAAAAAGGGAGGGGGACTGCAGGAGAAGGAAAAGTGGGCTATCTCCCCCAATGTGACAGTTTTATGGGGATTAGGTGTGGGATTGGGGGACTGCTGGAGATGCTCTTACTATAGCTAGAAGCTAGTTAGGAAGTTAGGGAGCAACTAGGATATGATTGGATCACAAGAACCACATAAAAACTAAAAAGAGATAACAATCTCAACAGACGAATCTGCAGATCAATGGAACTAGAGTCAATACAATTCATGAGGTCAACAGATGTATAATAAAGCAATTATAGTGAGAAAACCATAAGAGCAGAAAAAAAAAAGTATGAGTGGAACGTTTTAATTATTTGGCAAGGATTATTCTGGATTCGGTTCAATATCAAAATTCAAAACATTGTTTTAAGTGACGCAGTGCTCATATTGGGTCAAGTCTTGCATGCTTTTTGTACTGAACAATTAAACAGAAACTGATCAACAGTAAAGGCCACTAAACAAAAGCTGGTTGAAACAAACATCACTAATATGAAGCTGCTGAACTATCTGGACCCATCATAAAAAGTTTCTCTCTGGACTGAATAATTAAATAATGATTCTTAATCCCAAAGAGCAAGATTAGAGTACTTTTATGCAGCAATTCTATTAAAAAACTACTGGCAAACAGTTCCTTTTGTCGACTATTTGATAATACTATACTAGGTACATATATCGTTCATTCCACACACAGTTCAATGAGCAAAGGATATGCTAAAAGAAACTCACCACCCACAGAAGAGTTTTTGGGTTTCGAGTAGATATATTATCAGTCACTAGCTTAAAACCTTGATGTGCATCAACAATCTCCACAATAGTCATTGCACCAAGCAAGAAAAACACAATTTCACTAACTTCAGAAGTTGTTTGACTCAACTCTTGAACAGCTACATCAGTCGAGGGAGCCTACATTCAACAAAAAGGCCGATCAGATACAATCAAGAGTTTTTAAATGGATAGTTTCAACAAAAATCAAAGTAGGAATTCCTCCCTATATTCGAACTTTGGAACTTCAAAGGTAGATTAACTAGGAAAAGTATGTCATCTTATTCATCTGAAAGCAATAACCATTAACACGTGAATTTGCATGCAGCTTTTATTCCAAAATGACAATTTTATTTTCAGCACTAAGGCATGATAGCAATTTTTTCCCATTTTTACTCTTTGCCATTCCAGGCTCACTTATCAATTTGATAACTCTAGGGAAAAAATAACTTTCCTTGGCTTAGTTTCAAAAAGGAAAGGTGCTGGCAACATTATTATTCTGAATCATTCAAGGACCCATCAGACCATGAAACAAGCACTGCTCGTGTATTGCGACTAAGCACCTTACTCCAACTCTCTTGATGATAAGGTTGTGAAAGTTATACTAGACTGATAGACTTTAGCTGAAAAAAAAATCTGAACTATTATAGATCTTATTTTGAAGGGCGGGCCTGGTGCAAGCGGTAGAGTTTTACTGTCTGTGACCGGAAGGTCCCGGGTTCGAGTCACGGTCTCTTCGCATTGCACAGGCGAGGGTAAGGCTTGCCACTAACACCCTTCCCCAGACCCCGCACAGAGCGGGAGCTCTCTGCACTAGGTACGCCCCTTTTTTTATTTATTTTTTTTTACCGCAAAAGACTGTGGGGGAGATCCCCACAGTGATAGATTTTGTATTTACTAAAAGGTAGAAAGTACTTACAAACAGGGATTAACTAAAAGCATCCAGCCAAACACAAAAGGATGACCGCAGGTCATCCTTGAATCGAATAGACTGCAAGAAACATTGATTTTTAAATTTTGCCAACCAGGCCGATGTTGGATCACGCCTCTGAAAAACCTTGTCATTGCGCATCTTCCACAACTCCCATGCTGCTATCAGGGCTGCCTCCGTGAAGAAAGGAACATTGTGAACCTGTCCTGCCTGTACCAATCTATCCGAAAGTTGCAGCGTGTCATTCCAGTCAAAATGGATGATTGCCCAACATTCCTTCGCGAAGGGGCAGTCGAAGAATAAGTGATCAATGGTCTCCTCTTCACCACGGTTGCACATGACACAGATGTTATCATCCTGTATGTTCAGATGTCGTCTCTGGAGCATAGACTTGGTATTCAAACGGTCCACCAGGACAAGCCACGCAAAGAATTTCACGCGTGGAGTGCATCTAGATTTCCAGATGGCTTTGAAGATTGGATGTGCTTCCATGGTACTGAAGACATGAGAGTAGAGACGCCGTGAAGTATACACATTGCCCCAGGTGGGCAGCCAGCAATCCTTGGCATCAGCATCGTATGGCAGGTTCTGTAGTTGCAATTGCAGGACTTCATATTCCTCAAAAGCTTGCTGCGAGAGCGGGAGGAAGAAAAGTTCATCAAGGTCTGTTGCTTGCATGACCTCCAGCACTAAGGCATTCTCATTACTTGCAAAGGATGCTAACCTTGGAAACTCTTGGGATAGAACGGCATCAGACCACATATCATCCCAGAAATAGACTGTCGAACCATCCCCAATCTCACACTTGGCAATGCCTCGAAAGATGATGCTGAGACGAAGAACATCCTTCCACCACAAGGAGCCAAATTCCCTAGATGCATGGGGTACTTTGGTGGTATAATATTTGCTCCACACAAGGTGCACCCATGGGGTGTCATCTTTGTTATAGAATTTGAAGAGATGTTTGAGTAGTAGCGCATCATTTTGCAATCTGAGGTTAAGAACTCCCAGTCCCCCTTTCTCCTTGGGCTGCATAACAACTTCCCATGCAACTAAATTCCCCCCTTTCTTTTGGGCATCATTACCTCTCCAAAGGCATTGCTTTCGTGCTCTGTCGATGTTGTCAATGACCCCTTTTGGTAGCTTGATGGTACACATAGCATATGTGGTGATGGGGGTTATAGCCGAGTTAACCATTTCCAAGCGACCAGAGTAAGAAAGCCATGTGGAGCACACAGAGAGCCTCCTCTCTATTCTGTCCATCATCGGGGTGAAGTCCTCAATGTGTGGCTTGGTCGTGCCCATGGGCAAACCCAAATACGTGAACGGCATAGAACCAATATCATAGCCCAATGTGTTTGCCAAATGGGTCATCTTCTCCTCATTGACGTTGATGGAGTACATATGTGATTTACTGTAGTTAACTTTAAGCCCGGTTGACTCCAAAAAGCTGTGCAACAAAGCCTTAAGAAAGATCAGCTGGCTAGCATCGGCTTGCAACATCATCAGCGTATCATCAGTGTACTGAACTATTGGAAAATCCCCAGTTGGTTGTGGAATTGGAACTCTGAGCAAATTCATAGCAGCAGCCCGGTTGATTAAAATCTGCAGAAGTTCAGCCGCTATAACAAAGAGGAGGGGCAACAATGGATCGCCTTGACGGACCCCTCTCTTGCACTTGAAAAAATTTCCTGGGACGCCATTGAGTAGGACAGCAGATGAACCTGAAGAAAAAATGGCTTGAACCCAATCCAACCATCTCTGTGGGAACCCCATGTGAGCCATAACTTGCACAACAGCTGAATGTTCCACTGTATCAAACGCTTTCTCGAAGTCTAATTTTAGGATGATGATCTCTCTTTTCGACTGATGGCACTGGTGAATGTACTCATAACTCCATGCTAAGCAGTCTTGAATCGTGCGAGAGCGAATAAAACCATATTGATTTTGATGAACAACTCTCAAGATGACAGCCTGCAATCTGTCAGCTAGAATCTTGGTGATGACCTTGAGCGAGATGTTCATTAGGGAGATGGGACGAAAATCATTTACTGTCTCTGGACTGTCCTTTTTAGGAACCAGGGTGATATAAGAAGTGTTGATGCATTCAAGATTAATCTGACCCGAGAAGAACTTTGAGCAAAGGGAGTAAAAATCACCTTTGATAAATTGCCAACACTTTTTTTAGGAAACGGCCGTTAAAACCATCAGGGCCTGGAGCCTTGTCAGCCGGCATACGCTTCACCACCAAATCCACCTCCTCCTGCAGAATTGGGGCAGCAAGAGAATCTAGGTCGTTCACTGGCGTGACAAGGCTAGAGAGGTCAAAAAGCATAGTAGGTGATGACGTGGTACCCATGCGATTTCTGAAGGAGTTCCAGAGAAGGCCTGCCTTCCCTTCATGGTCGTGGATCCAAATGCCTTGGTCATTCATGATCTGCGCAATGGAATTTCTTCTATAAGAAATAGTAGCCATGCCATGGAAGAATTTTGTACACTCATCGCCCAACTTTATTCTATTGACTATGTAACGATTCCTCCGGTAGAGATTCTTGTATCGCAACCAAATTTGAAGTTGTTTCTTGACAACAGCCCATAGGTTTGCTTCTGCATTAAAAAGGCCTCTTATATCCTCCAAAGCATCTAGAAAACCAATGACTTGGTTGCAGTTGCTGATGAGCATTCTTAGATTTGATAAATGCTTGCTCCAGTTCTTCAGTCTGGCTCTTAGGGCCTTGAATTTGGAAGAGATGGTACGAGCAGCATCACTGTTAGCTGGCGTAGAGGTCCACGAGTCATATACTGTGTCTAGGAAATCATCTTGCTCTGCCCAGAAATTCTCAAAACGGAATAGATTAGCTCTAGGAATTTTTGTGCTAATCACCACCTTGCATGGAATATGATCCAAAGTGATCTTTGCTAAAGGGAGGACCTTTGTGTTGGGGAAGTCGATGGTCCAGTTGGTGGATGTGAAGAACCAATCAAGTTGCTCAAGCAACGGATCGGATTGCATATTGCTCCAAGTGAATGCCCGGCCCTTCAAAGGCAGCTCAACTAAACCAAGATGCCCAATCGCATCATTGAAAATAAAAGTGTCAGCAAGATTGCCACCGGGTCTATTTCGGTTATTCAGAGAGCGGTAGAAATTAAAATCTCCCAGGAAGATCCAATTCTCTGAGTCAGATATAGCATGACTACGAAACCAGCTGACAAACTCTGAGCGGGCAGGATCATTACATGGTCCATAGACTGTGGTTAGTTTCCAGGTCTCGCTGGTGTGTGTCACAGTGAAGCTAACCGTGAGACCAAAGCTCTGTTTATCAGTGACTATACCTGAAAAAACTGCACTGTTCCAGAGAACAAGGATACCCCCAGATGCTCCTACCGAGGGTACATAATCAAAATGGTCAAAACGCCGCGGTGCAAATTTTCTGATAAAGGATATATCAAAGGTTTCTTTCTGATAAAGGATATACCAATTTTCTGATAAAGGATATATCAAAGCTTATCAGGGAAGAAGCTCACCCACCACCCACCGACATTGATGGTGGACAATCAGCCCGCCATCGCCCATGCAAAGAATCCAGTCCTCCACGACCGGAGCAAGCACATCGACACCCGTTTTCACTTCATCCGTGATTGTGTCGATGGAGGACAGATTGTTCTGGAGTTTGTCGAATCTGGACAACAGCTTGCAGACATCCTCAACAAGCCACTCAACCATCTTCGGTTCATGGAGCTGAGGACCAAGATTGGAATGGTGGAAATCAAGCAAGAGCAACAAGATTAGGGGAAGAATTGTTGAATAATTTGCTGTTGGTCTTGCACAGAAATCTGCAACCGCAGACCAATTTCCTTGCTAGTGCAGTGCAATTTCCTTGCAACAGCAGAGCAACTTCCTAGCAAGTTCCTAGGACTGTAGAGTAGACTAGACATGAGTGCTACAGCAATCAACCTTCACTAGCTACCTCTGTAGGACTGTAGAGTAGACTAGACTTGACTGCTACAGCAGTCAACCTTCACTAGTTACCTCTGTGTATATATATATGCAACTATGGAAATGTAATATTTAGTTTAGTTTGCTACACCTCCAGAGGCACCGGTGCGTAGTGGAATCCTAAGCCAGGATAGTAACGTGAAGAGAGGTAGAGGAAGACCGAAGTTGACTTGGGTAGAGGCAATAAAAGGAGACTTGAAATGATGGAATATGCCCAAAGACTTAGCCTTAGATAGGAGTGCTTGGAAAACAGCTATTCACGTGCCTGAACCTTGATTGCTTCTGTTGGGTTTCAACTCTAGCCTACCCCAACTTGTTTGGGACTTAAAGGCTTTGTTGTTGTTGTTGTTGTTGTTGCGTAAAATGGAAATACAATGCACTTCTTGAATAATTTGTAAGCTGCAGCAATCTAAGTGGCAAAATGAACTTTTTTTTTGTGACTGTGGCAAAATGAACTTTGATACCGATTAAGATCATGGATACAATATAATTTTCTTTAGATATGTGCCTCAAATCTCAACCAATAATAATAAACAATAAAATACAACTGAGATACTCAGAAGCTGAGCTTTAAAATGTATGGTTCACAGATTAAATTTTGAAAATAGTCGCTGAAGTCTTGAGTTGATTTCAGAGAATAGCTTACCCCAATGCTTCTGATAACCCATAGGCAGACAGCCATCAATAACGCAACTCCACTTTTGTTAAATGCTAGTGATTCCTCAAAAATGATACCTGCATAGCCAATAGAAAAGACCAACACCATTGCAATGTCCTGCAGAAGGAAGTATTTGAATGATGCTTGTAATAATGATCCTTGTTGTGTGCATAACAAACAGAAAGAGGCAAACTACATAGTTAAAATGATAAATAAGGGAACTTTTGGACAGATGTAAGGAACCAGCTGACCTGATTAGCAGCAACCCAGGAATGGTTTATTGCGGCTGCCCCAGCCAAGGCTGCGCCAATGATAGTTAAAGCTTTTAGAAGATCATTTTTTGGTTTGTAGTTAGCTTCAAAGTACTGTGAGCTAACTTCATCAACCGAGCATAGAGGGTCACAATTCCCAGTCGTGTCCAATAGCTGAATTTTTTGTGAAAGGGAAAAAGCATTAGCAACTGCATAGATAGGAATCAGCAGCGATGGTGTAGGACAATAAAATATATTTTAAGGGCCTGTTTGGTTGCCTGCATCTAGACTTAGCAATTCAGTTTGTTCATGTTTGGTTACCCACAATGGCACTTATGCAGTCTTACACAGTGCTCAAAACAGGCCCAATGTAGCATTAGCATTAGCTAGTACGTCAAATTTAGTCCTACGAGGGAAAGATTTGCACGAGCCGATGGACACAATAAAAAATGAAATGGTCTCACGTATATTACCTCTACTAGAAATACGTGACTTTTACTAAAACATAGAGGTGACTACATGCAACAATATAAACAATTCAAATATAAATTTACCAAACGCAGCTTGCCTATGCAGAACAGCAAACACTAAGACACGACATACATTAATACTGGCTTGGATTATGCTGCATATAAGGTATAAAATACAGGCGAAGGTTAGTGCAAGTAAACAATCACAACCTTATCGACGAATGGGAAGTTGGGAACAAACAAATTAGATGCCGAGTCCTACAGCTCGTGTTTGTGGTATGAGCCACCGCACGAGTTTTCTCTCTCGCATTAGTTTGGAGAGGAGAGGAAGTCAAGAAGAAGAAGAAGTGTAGGTACCTCGTAGTCGTCGGGCTCCTCGGGCGGTGCCGGCGGCGGAGGTGAGGAAGAGGTGGAGGAGGCGCAGCAGAAGCGGAGGCCGTGGCGCCATTGCTGAGAGGGCGAGAGCGGGACCACGGAAACGGTCAGGGGGCGGTGCTCCCGCCGGCGGATGGCAGCGGAGGATGGGAAGGAAGGGGAGGCTGCCGCCCGGGTGCCGGCCAGCAAGCAACAGGAGAGAGCCATTGCTGCTGGTGGTAGAATTTGGGGGCCGAGCTCACTCGAATCGGAATAGTCGAATGGAGCACGGATGAGGACCGTGAGTGAAGCCTGTAGTCATTCTGCTGCTGCAGGCCTGTACAGTAACTTGTACTTGTGGGTGTGGCAGCAATCGTCCGATCCGAAATCGAAGGCCAAGATCATAAGCTTTGTCATTTTATCATCAATCATGAGTTATTTGTGTATTCTATAGGTATATATTTTTTTACTGTAATCTAAATATACGCTATGTTTAGGACTATAATAACTTGTGGCAGCAATCACAGCCGTTAGATCGGAAGCTGACGGCCAAGATCATAAGCTTTGTCATCTTTATTTATATTTTATATTATTATTATTAATAATATACATGAGTATATACCCATATAAAACATGCTTTCTCACATCTTATAAAGTTATCACATGCACATCACTGTTAAGTGTATGTCGTCTATAGCTAAAAGAAAAATACTATTAAATTCTAGTATTTAACCCGAGTAATTATATTCCACCACATCATATCTAATCAACTCAGCTACGCCCAATTCAAAAAAAAAAAAGTTGTGATGTTGTTACCTTAACAAATCTAGTCGGCTTTAGTTCATGTGTAAGTGTAAAATACTTTCGTTTCAAATGATCTATGACCTTGTGGTATGTATAACCAAAGTAATTGTATTGCTCCAAGAGTTTGAACAGTTTTTTCTTCTCTTATTTTCTCTCTACGAGTAGATGACTGGGGTAAATGGAAGCCAATTCAAAAGACTGTTTGGCTGGCTGGCCGGCTTCGGCTCGGCTGGCTAGCGCACTCACGAACACTGTTTATATGAACAGTGTTTTCAGACAGAACAATATTTTTCCCTCACAATAATCAGCCGGAACAATATTTTTGCTTATTTTTCAATCCTGCCGAACAGCCCCCAAATTTCTCTAATGAAAAATTGGCTTAAGTCCCAAACAAACCCCAAAATGCTCTTTCCAAATTTAATCCACACATGTCCGACTAGATGAACTCACAAACACTTCGAGAAAAGGTAACATAAAAACACATAAGCAAATGCAGCAGAAGATGAGCTGGAAAGCACGAAAAGCAACGACACGACACCCAGTAGCTAACAAACCGACCTTGCACTACATACATGTGATTGTGATACTTATGTGACATGTGTGCTCTCTACATTGATTTATATATATATCATGCAACTTGGTTATGCTCATTTGCTTTGCTTTCGTATTTTACTCCGATTTAAATGAGCTTTACTTCTTGTACTCATGCTTAATTTATATCTATTATTAAGTACACCATGTTGGCTTAGGTCATATAAGCATGTCTAACTCCTTTGCTCTTATTATCAAAAGCTTATATGAACCAAGCATGTTGAAAACCTCACTCGTCTCTTTTACATACTCGAGGTTGTGTTGTCATCAATCACTAAAAAGGGGGAGATTGAAAGCATCTAGGCCCCTAATTGGGTTTCGGTGATTAATGATGACACGAGATTACTATGACTAACGTGTGTTTTGCAGAGGCAATTTGAGTTAGGTCGTGGTAATGGCAATTGATTGGGCAATCATGGTTGTCGTGCCCCTATCGATGGAAATCGTTTTAGTTTTCAAAGGATGGATGGCAAGGTTAAGGATGGACTAGTTCTAAGTATCGTTTGGTGTTGAAGAGACACTTAGAGTAGTTTAGGACTTTGTTTTTCCTTTGGCCATACTATTAAGGGGGTATGGACTAGTAGCTTGACCTAGATGAGTCTAGTGGATTAGGTGTGGTGCACACTTATCAAATCTAGCACTAGGTAGCTCCGGAGTAGCCCTAAGATCAATTGGAGTAAACTTCATTCACATAAGATTTCGAGTTCAAAGTGAATGGAGGATCAAATGACAGACCAGACGCTGGTTTGGTTGTGACCGGACACTGGAGGATGAGCCCGGTTAGTTCATTTGATCAACTGAAGTCGTCGGGTAGTGACCGGACGCTGAGTGAAAAGTGACCGAACGCTGGGTGCCTGCGTCCGGTCAACTCTAGAGAGGTTCTAGAGAGGGAGTTTCCTGATCGGACGTATCCGGTCAATGCTGACCGGACGCTGGTCAGGATTCGGTAACTGATCGCACACTGAACAGCGAAGTGATCGGACTCTGGGTGCCAGCGTCCGGTCAACATCAGTAAGGTTCTAGAGAGCGTTTTTCTTGACCGGACGTAGGTCAGAGTCTGGTCAGAACTTAACGGCTCTTTTCTGACATAGTGGCGGGGATAACTGACCAGAGCGTCCGGTCACCCTAACCGGAGTGTTCGGTCACCCCGCAGACTAATGACTCAGCCTCCAAACGTTATATTTTGAATGAGGGGGTATAAATACTTACTCCACTCGTTCAAGTGAGGTCTCTTGCCCATTTGTTCAGCTGAAAAACACCCTTGAGAGTGCAAAGGAGATCAAGAGCCTAGTGAGGTGGTTGAGATTTGAGAATCCAAGATTAAGGCCTCATTAGTGCAAGGAGGGTAGCAAGTGTGCATCCACCCTTCTCATTAGGCTTGTTGTGGTCAAGTGAGAGTTTATGCTTGTTACTCTTGGTGATCACCATCACCTAGATGGCTCGGTGATGATTGAGAGTTTGGTGATTATCCGGCGAAAGCTTGTGGATGACCCAACTCAAGTTATGAGCGGTTGTGGGCGATTCACCGCGATGGAGTGTTGAAGAATCAGCCCGTAGAGAGCACTTGATCCTTGCGCGGATCAAAGGGGAGCTACACTCTTGCGTGGGTGCTCCAACAAGGACTAGTGGGGAGTGATGACTCTCCGATACCTTGGCAAAACATCACCGCGTTCCTTTTCCTCTCTTTACTTTAAGCATTTACATTCGAGCACTTCATTTCTTGTCTTTACATTCCTAAAATTGTCATGCTAGAGTAGGATTGAAACTTAGGGTGCTAAACTTTTGTGCGGTAGATCAATAGAATCACATTCGAGACACAAGGGGTGAAGTGGGCTAAGTGTAGAACTTAATTATTGCAAAGAATTTAGAATTAGCCCAATTCCCCCCTCTTGGGCATCTTGATCCTTTCAATTGGTATCAGAGCCTCGTGCTCGCTAAATTAGACTTAACCGCCTAGAGAAAGTTGTCCCACGGGGATGAACCTCCTCCTATCTTTGAGGGAGATGATTTTCCTTATTGGAAAATTCACATGGAGGCTTATTTAAAAGCTTTAGATGTTGGCATTCTTAGAGCCGCCTCTCAAGGCTTTTCAAAACCTAAGGATCCCACATACCTTCAAGGCGATGAAGTTAATTATGAGAAATGAAATGCAAAGGCTAGAAACATCATCTTTAGAGGCCTTTGCAAAGATGTTTTTAACCATGTGTGGAACCACAAGGACGCCCATGCACTATGGTCAGATATTTGTGTGCTCCATGAGGGAACAAAGAGTGAGCGTGAGAAACGCTATCATCTTGTTATGAAAAAGCTTAATTCATTTGAGATGCTTCCTAAAGAAAGTGCTAATGAGATGTACTCATGCTTGAATATTCTTGTAGAGAAAGTCAATGGGCTAGGACTTACACAAATGCAACCCTTTGATGTTGTAAGAAAAATCTTGAGTGTCCTCCCCATTGATAAATATGGGCATATTATGACCGTGCTTTATCAAGGTGATCTTTCCACCGCTACACTAACTCAAATATTAGAAAAGATCAATGCACATGAGATGTATATGCACATCACTCAAATAGGTGATTGGCTCACGGATATTGATTCATCAAGTTGCTCATTCGATGATAAAAGTGAGAACGAGAAGGTGGCCGCTATTGTAATTGACTATTCACTATCTTCACCGACACCACCACCATCATCCTCTACACACCTATGTCTTATGGCCAAGGGTGAACGAAAGGTACAAAATGATGATGATAGTAGTGATGATGATCATGCTAGCAATGATGATAGTGATAGTGATGATGAATTTGAATCACCTTCTTATGATGATCTTGTCAAGTTGCTAAATCAATATACTAAAATCATTAGAAAGACAAGAGCTAAAAATGAAAAGCTAGAACTTAAGAATGACTCACTCTTAGCTAAATATGACATAGCGGAAAAAGATAGTGTTGTGCTTAGAGAAGAAAATAAAACTATGTCATCCAAACTCAAGGAGCTCAAATCCTCTAAAAAGGAGCTTAAAGAAAAACATGATAAACTTGAGGGGATACAAAATGAGCTCACCATTAGCTACAATTTGCTAAAAGAAGAGTATACCAATCTCAAAGTTAATCATGATAATCTTGTTGTCTCTCATGAGTTATTATCTAATGAGCTACATGATGCTACTAATCATGTTGTTAAGATTGATATAGCTACATCATATGATGATTTGATTGTTGAGAGCATTGAGCAAGATTCTAGTAGCAAAGACAAGCAAGTGTTGAGTCCGACAACTATGATGAGTATGTCAAGATCAAGAATGAAAATGAGAAGCTCAAGAAAGATCTTGAAAAGCTATCAACCACCAACACAATTGTGATAAAGAACCTTGACCATGATTGTGATATAGTTCTTGAAAATAAGAAGCTCAAAGAAGAGAACAAGAGACTCAAGATGGAGAAAAATCATAATGAACTTAAAGAAGAGAACAAGAAGCTCAAGTTGGAGAAAGAACATCTCAAGACTGGCTTGAGCAAGTTCACAAGAGGCCAATATCTTCAAAGTGAGCTACTCATGAACATCGTCATGAAGATAGATAGAAGTGGTATTGGGTATTTGGTAAATCAAGAGAAGAAGGCTCAAGCTCAACATCAATAACAACACAAGTCAAAGCCAAAGCCAAAGAGGTGTTTTGAGTGTGGACAAGAAGGTCACTTTGCCCATGAGTGTCAAACTCCACCACCACAACCCTTGTCCAAGCATGCTAGACCATTTGCTTTCAATGCTCATTACATGCTTAGAAATGACTCTAGTGGAAAAATGAAAGTCATATTCTTAGGACCTCCAAACAA